TGTCTGTTTGTCTGTATGTCTGTCTGTTTGTTCCGGCTAATCTCCGAAACGGCTGGGCCGATTTTAACGGGACTTTCACTGGCAGGTAGTTCATATTATAAGGAACAACTTAGGCTTTTATTTCAGTAAAAGAATTAGGGTTCCGCTCAAAAAAAATGTACCTAGGTACGATCCCGAGTAAAGCGAGGGTGAGTCGCTAGTGTTTATATATTATCGTTTAGGCAGGTAATTATAATATATCTATCTATACATATAATAAAATTGTAACCAAGCCGAATCTGTATGTACATTAAATATTTTTTGGAAAATCTTATTGAAATATACAATACTATGGATACAGAGATCGAATCTATAGTGTTTAGAATTTATGTCTGGATGTTTGTGACCGCATCACTAATAAACAACAGGAGGGATTTTGATGAAATTTGGTACTATGATAGCTGGTTATCCAAATCAACATAGAGGATAGTTTTTACTGCGGTAAAATATCTCATATTTGAGAAAACTATACTAAACTTTAAAACGTAGGGACGAACCTAAGCGGAGCGAGGGTAAGTCACTAGTTCATAATAATCTTACTAGTTTTAAAAGAAAACTATGAGTATATATTATTTTAAATAAAACTATCTTTTCGGATTTTGTTGCGGATTTATTTGTATTTTTGTTTCCCGACGTTTCGAATGCTTTACAGCAATCATGGTCACGGGAGAGACTGAGGTGTTAGATGTCTCTAAGGTATTATATAGTTGTTACAGACAGCCTACCCACAATTAACAATTAACAATTTATTTAATATTCATACAACAAAAATAATTTAAAATTTATTTATAAGACACAGTACACACATAGCAGCTTGTAGAAACACCATGGACCTGAGATCTCCAGGGGAAGCAACATCTGTCTCCCGTCCATGACTTGCCTTCATTGGCCCTAAGAAATGTAGAGCCAAGTGCTCGAAAGGGTGGAAGTGGAAGAAGGAAGGGTGGAACTCACAATCTTTCTCGCAATAAGTAAATACACAAACTACAAATAATAATAAATATATAATAACAATATCCTCGTAATGTACTCAAAATCAATGAGAACGGCTAATCTTACTTAAATTGGCCATCTGCGCAGAAAAATGCAGTGTATCGGAAAATATCAGGAGGCACCTGATCTTGTGACATGCAACGTCGAACCAGCGAATCGACGTAGCATGTGCTCTACGAGCAAAGGTACGATTTTTAGAAACGGAGCAATTTCACATGACCTGCACGGGTGGAACCGGGGGCAAACGCTAGTTTATCTATATGTTTATCTTTTACACTGAAATTATCTTTTCAATATAATAAGCTACATAATTACTAATTATAATTTGATAACATTTGTATCATAATATCTACTTGATAAGGCAAATAAATACTGTATTGCTATCTAGATTTATATTAAACTGTATGACGCAGAATTCTAATGACTCAGAATTTTATTAATAAACTAGCGTTGCCCGCGGCTCCGTCCGCGTTCAGATGACCAAAAACCAAATTCTTAGGTTTTATATATTACTATACTCTTACAATGCAGTTTTTGTATTTATTCTCAGAATTGAGATATTTTCCCGCGGTAAAAAGCTATCATCATACCAAATTTCATCAAAATCTGCCCAGTGGTTTTCTCGTGATGCGGTAACGGACGGACGGACGGACGGACGGACGGACGGACGGACGGACGGACAGACAGACAGACAGAAAGACAGACAGACAAAAATTCTAAAAACTATAGATTCGGCCTCTGTATCGATAATAATGTCTATTTCAATTAGATTTTCCAAAAATATTTAATGTACAGATTTGACTTAGTTACAATTTTATTATATGTATGGATGTCAAATATTCCCGTAAATCTAAGAAAGTATTATGTTAATTATTATGAATGTCCCAAACTAATTTCTCAGTTTTTGGTTACTTTACATGATCTGGACATTTACTAGACATAGAAATAAAACTTCATTCTAATAGACTTATTACAAACACTTTTAAATCGTCACCCATGTTAACGATATTGAATTGACAATGCTCGAATGAGAAAGCTCCAGAAATTTAAATTATTTTTTTAAATAGGGTGGTGAAGATGGATTAAACAGAACACGGTAAAGAAGATGAAGGATATGAGTATTTCTGCGAAGGCGAATAGGGAGCCACTTGAGCTTTCTGCGAAATTCAAAAATATGGTCATATTTTCGTAATCCAAATATAAACCGTATACATAAATTTTGAAGCCGCTCATTTAATTGCTCCTCTCTTCTTGATTATGCTGACTCTTGTTATCTTAGATCAAGATAACAATAGTCAGCATAATCAAGAATAGGTAAAAGGAGAGATTGTGCTAGCGCAATTTTAGTAGGAATGGGGGGAAAGTTGCGTAACCGAGGAAGTGATGCTACAGATGCAAAAATTTTCCTGCTCGTCTCACATAACTGCTGAGCCCAGGACATATTCTGGACAATAATAATCACGCCTAGGTTCTTGACACTGTCACTATAAGGTATAATTATGCCATTTAATAGAATAGATGGTAATGATAACGACGCAACCCTAGCAATAAGTTTAGAGCTACCGATAATTATACTTTGTGTTTTTTCCGGATTTTATGGATTAAGAGTCCAAAAGATCTACTCCATAAGACTAAGAAATCTTCGTTCATTTTCTCAATGGCTCTTGGTAATTCAGCCATTTTGGCGTGAATATAAATCTGTACATCCAGGTAGTAGTTAGAAGAAATGTGATGACATAATGTATTAATAAATACTGAAAAAAGAAGAGGAGACAACACGCCACCCTGCGGAACACCTGACTTGACTGTTAACCAGTCGAAGTACGAATCATGATCCGTATACTCTGTTGGCGTCAACGCAGGTAACAAAGAAATCAGTCAACTACTTTAAGAGATAAATTAAGAGAACTTAACATAGCAAATAACATGTGAAAATCAACAGTATTAAAGGCATTACTAAAATCCAGTAAGGTAAGTACTGTGACTTCCTGTTTATCCGTGCCTTTGCAAATATCACCAGAGATCTTGACTAAAGCAGTAGTCGTCATAGAGGAAGAATATGCAAATTGACACTATTAACTATTGATCTTAAGCGTGATGCACGATGACCACCCTTTAAAAGACAGGTGTTAAAATGGCCCTTAATAATGGTATGGTTATAAGAAAGTCGAAGTCGCTCTAATAGGGTCTCAAAAGAACTAAAGTAATTGATCGTAAGGCATGGGTTGTACCAAACACCAAGACGAACTTTGGTATGAGCAAAAATTATGTTAATAAAAGGAAGTTCTCCGGCATCGGGTTGTTTTTGAGTTCATGTTCAAAAAGTTCTAACTATAGTAAATGCTATGTGGGAACGTAAGAAAATACCAACGCCATTATAAGCTCGGCCAAGACGATCAATACGTATGAAATGAAACCCTGGAAGAGAGTAACAAGAAAACGATAGGCATGGTTTCAGTTAGTAGTTTAGGTAGCAGTATATGATATAGGCATCCGCTAAAAAAGGATTTTTCGAAATTCATCCCCTGAATGAGTTAAATAGAGGATTAAAGTTTGTATGAAACTCTATCATTCTTTATTTGAAATACATACAAAGTGTTATTTAGCTTTAAGATAAAAAATAAGAAACATTTTTTTTTGGAAATTCATCCATTAAATGGGTAAAAGGGGGTGATAAAGATTATATGGGCAATAATTATTCATGATCAGCATTATTTATGAGCATTAATAACTTGAATCTTGGTATTAATGCTCTTCAATACAATTGAATAAGTACGTGTTTTTTGTGTCCTGTTAGGAAGTGCCCTGTGTAATGTATTCTATCTATATATAATATATAATCATCCTATAAGGGGGTAAAATAGGGGTTGAAAGTTTGTATTAACTACCATTGGAGATTTTTTCGTAGTTTTAGCGCGAGCGAAGCCGCGGGTTCTGCTAGTATCATATGTTTGTCAAACAATAACAACGGTTAGTAAGGCAACATGGCAATGTATTCTATCTCATTCTTTCGCCTACTTATCCTATATATTGTAAGGTAGTTTGAAATTTGTGCGTCGTCTACGTTAAAGACTACGGTCTACGAGTACAAAACAGTATTTAAAAATGTTTCGTTGTCTATTGAGGAACAGTTATTCATATTTTTCTCACGTGAGTGGTCACTATACCAAAATTGTGATTGAATATTTAAATAAATAATTTGTGGTTGAAAAGCGTTTTCTCTCTGAGCCTATTAATATTTATGTGTTTGTCTCTTTGTCGTGACGCATTTTACTAAATAAGTTTTACTTCAAAATTGTAATAATTTAACGTTTAATAAAATATTTTAAATTTTGAGGTTTCAATAATTATATCTACTTACTACTCTACTTATTCGTAGGAGTCACGTACTATTACAATCAAGTTTATTATCAAATTGCAGCCATTATAAAATATACGCGTGTGTGGAATACAATAATCTTCAAGCTACGTGTAAGTACACACAATCAAAGACCAATGTAACTACTACAAGGTAATTATATCTTATCTATATCTATACATATAATAATATTCTAGCTGAGTCGAATTTGCACGTTAAATACTTTAAGGAAAATCTTACTTTCTTAGATTTACGCGAATATTTGATATTTTAAACAAAACTATCTTTTTGGATTATTTCGCGGATTTATTCTGATTTTTGGTTCCCGACGCTTCGAATGCTTTACAGCAATCATGGTCACAGGAGAGACTGAGGTGTTAGATGTCTCGAAGGTATAGTTGTTACAGACAGCCTACCCACAATTAACAAAATGAAAAATTTCGGCTTAGAATTTTATTAAATGTATAGATACAGGATTATAGTCTTTATAACTATTATGGTATGAATCACTGAATGAATGTGATTGCGTTGATATGAGATAACTTTACCTATATATAGCTTTGATCACCGGAACAGGTCACCAAAACCAGTTGCAAATTAAATTTGGACCATGGCGGACGCTGAGCAGAATTTACGCGAGATTTTAGACAAAATATTGGATGAAGAAAAATATTGTCCACGAGAAATAAAGATTCAAGCTATAACTTCTGGTGGTGCGAATTATACTTCAGCTATATTTTTAGTGAAGGTAACATCTCCGAACCGCGATGATTTGAATTTATTCGCGAAAGTGGCGATGGTGAGTGAGGTTATGAGGACACGATTGAATATTGAATGGCTATATGATACAGAGAAATTCGTCTACACAAAACTTGTAAAAGTCTACAAAGATATTGAAGAAAAACTCAATGTTCCTCAAGAATATAGATATGTCTTCCCAAAATGTTACGGCTGCAACGCAGAACACGGTAAAGAGATCGTTGTTATGGAAAATTTAATTGAAGACGGTTACAAATCGTACAACCGATTTAAATCAATGGATTGGGAGCACGCTAGTAAAGGCGTAGAAAATTTAGCCAAATTTCACGCTTTATCCTTCGCTTTCGCTAAATATCAACCTGAAGAGTTCCAACAAGTGGCTGAAGATATTCGATATAAAATTGCTCAAAAACAAAGTGAAGAACCAAATGGAATTATGGCGGGAATATGGGATAAAATGGTAAACAATGCAGTATCTGTAATTAAGGAAGATCAAAGAGATGCTGTGAAAAAATTCTTTGATAGTAATATTCAGTTGCATGAATATAATAGAGCACTCGGAAAGCCCGTCATCGCACATGGGGATTACAGGATGAGCAACCTTTTATTTAAAAAGCAGGTAAGAGATTCTAGCTTTTTTAAAAGTGCGCTGGATAGTTAACCAATAAATAATCATTTTATTATAATATAAAAAATATATGTAGATATGTTAAATAAATTGTTACAAGAAAGTAATAAATATAGATAATTAAGTTAAAAATTTGATATTACTCGTTTATCATCGGCTTACTTTGTATCTAAGTAGCCTTTTTATGACTTTGTTAGAGAAGTCAGTCTTATCAAATAATAATATTTAGAAGTGTTTACACTTTATGAAATTACCGGTTATTTATGGTTTTATTTTTGTCGTTATAATGATTCGGGAACATATCTTTACATATAATAAAATTGTAACTAAGCCGAATCTGTACATTAAATATTTTTTTGAAAATCTTATTGAAATAAACATTATTATCGATACAGAGGCCGAATCTATAGTTTTTAGAATTTTTGTCTGTCTGTTACCAAATCACAGAAAAACCACTGGAAGGATTTTGATGAAATTTGGAATGGTGGTAGCTGGTTACCCGGGTCAACATATAGGATACTTTTTACCGCGGGAAAATATCTCATTTCTGAGAAAAAATACAAAACTGCAATGTAAGAGTATACTAATATGTAAAACCTAAGAATTTGGTTTTTGGTCATCTGAACGCGGAGCCGCGGAAAATGCTAGTCTTAAATAATAATATTAATTTTATAATAGAATACTTTAGTACTAAGTATAAAATAATTTAATCATAATCAAGTTCTTATTTAACAAAATTTTATTACAAGTTCGATTAGTTAATAAGCATCACATAATTTACAAAATATAATAGTACATACTAATGTATGTATGTACGTAAACTAAAGTTAAAATTAACTTTTAAAAATAATTCATTTCAATTGGATGTTTTGTTGTTTTAATTGCTTCCATTGCTTATCGTATTGTAGAACAAATAATACATTTTAGTTTATCTTACTACTATATAAATGCGTAAGTTTGGATGTATGGGTGTTTGTTACTTAATCATGCCAGAAGGGTTGAACGGATCAAGATGAAATTTGATGCAGAAATAGATTACAGTCTAGAATAGCACAGGAGCAACTTTCGATTTCGGAAAAATGTACGGTTCGTTTTCGTGAAAACTTGTAAGTACCAAATTTACGTTTATTTTCATCTTTTTTTTTCGGAATTTTCCCTTTTCTTGTGCTATAAGACCTTGCTTTTAACCAAAATTGACAATTCTAGGTCAACCGGAAGTACCCTATAGGTTTTCGGTCGAAAACCTATACGGTAGTTCCCATTGACCTACAATTACGAAATTTGGCAAATGGCAAGGTCTTACAGCACAAATAAAGGAAAAGTTCCAAAAAATAAAAAAAAATGAAAATTAAAATTAAATAGATTTCCTACTTTGTACGGTACCCTCGGTGGGCGAGTCCGACATCCCCATTTAACCCCCTTGAGGATTGATTTCCGGAATTAAAAATACCCTATGTCCTGCCCAAGGTCTCAAACTATCTGCTTACCAAATTTCATCTAAATCGGTCCAATAGTTTTTGAGTTTATTTGTTACAAACATACAAAAACTCAAATCTTTCCTCTTTATAATAGTAGTTTAGTTTCTCGTAATAACCAGTTTAAAATAAACACCCATGACTGGAGTACAAACATTCGTGCGCATCACACAAATGAATGCCCTAAGCGGGACTTAAACCCGCGACCGCTGGCACATGAAATAGAGTCACTACTTAGTCAAACGTATGGTCGATTTTTATTGTTTCATCCAAATTAGTTTTAAGACATTTAGTTATTTGAAAGAATCTGTGAATGATTTTTTATTTAAAAACCTTTTTTTTAGTAAAAACCGACTTCCAGGCACCAAAATGTAAAAAATAACTAAACGGGGGTTTTCATTTAGAATAGATACCTAATTATATATTTTCGAAGTCGGTACCAGCCGAAGCAAAGCAATTCATATCTGATCATATTTACCTATTAGATATTCATATCTTAAAATATTGTCGGCTGGCACCGACTTAAGTTATTTTTTAATTTTTCGTGTATTTTTTTGTCCTTTTTTAAAGTTTTATTTTTTCGTTTTTAGTGTAGCCATAGTAGTAGTAAAGTTAGAAGAAAGTAGTTTTATAAAATATTCGCTTAAGCCGTTTAAACTACTTTAAAGCTAATTTTTATATTAAGACTGACAAACAAAATTCGCTTTTATTAGTAACACTAAAAATCAGGCTCTAAAATTCAATTCTATGTATTGAGTTAAAATCAAACAAAATAAGCTCAAACTCAAAGTATCTGCTATTAGCCAAACATACCTATCCACCTGCTGGCCTTACCATCAGACCAGATTGACGATACCGAAACACTACATTATTAAAAGGCAATAGAAATACTTGCAAACTTTTAAGTCAATATGCCAATAATTAGAAGTAAGTAAAATTTTCATTGGCTATTTTTCCACTATTAGGAGTGGTATTTTTTTCTCAACGTAAAATGGAACCAAACTGGAAGTGTACACTTTGAAACAAAACAAAAATTGTCCAAATCGGTTAATAAATGACCGTTTTGAGGAAACAAACAAAAAAATACAGCATTGAAAACCTCATTTTTGAAGTCAGTTGAAAAACTCCTAGATATCAATCCGGATTTGCGTCCTGCGTTTAAAACTTACATAACGATAATAGCGCTCGTTTACCATTATGGTACTTCATGTTTTCCTACATATGACCTTGACTATTAAATCAAATTTATTATAATTGATAATTGTGTAAAAAAAACTGTATAATAATCTTGAAACTGCACTTCAACATTGTGTATAAAAAGTATTTTTGAATTAGCTCTGATATCGTATAAAGTAATACGTTATTTCTTAATTATGATTACCTATATTATTATACTTACTTTTTATATGTTCCTCTTCTTGTACAAATTAAGTATACACTTTTTGTCTGTACTATTTGTCTCATTTTACACCATTGCTGTAGTAATATCGAAGACCTCCCAGTTATCAGACTGCGATGAAACATTTAAATTATTATTATTATATTCTTCTTCTTCGTTTACTTCATTGTTGAAGGTCGTGCTTGTCCTGGAATGTTTTCACTGATTTGTCGATTATTATATAATACATTTTATATTTTGCATCAGTATGATGAATATTTATTATAATATATGTTTGACCAATGTAAGAAATTCAGGATCCCATTCCCCTGGGACCTTTGCACCAATATGCGAATTTCATTTTCAATAGGATTACCTATTTCTGAAACGGTGGATTAGAACATCATAAAGAAGTTTGCATATTTGAGAAAGTTAGAGCTTGTAGTTTTCAAAAGGTAAAGTTTCTTTCGCAACAGAATGTATTTATAAGAATTAACTCTACGTGAAATCGAGCCTGTCAACTCTGACTAGTAGATAATACCAGTCGAACACATCAGAAGCAGCGAACCATTATTGACACCATAAATATTTAATTTACTAATATCCTATAAAGCATATGCCACTCAATAATAATGTCGCTTTCTTTTAATGGAAGAATTCTCAGTAATTATTAGATACGTTTAGCACCTACATTCTAATTGATAACCTTATTATCTCTTAAAAATATTGATATTGATTTTATAAATGATTTAGATAACAGAATAGTACGAAAATATCACAATAACTTACCAGTGATTACACTATAGCGTGAGGTTATATATTTTTTTTGTCATCATTGCAGACTACTGTTTGAACGCGCTAATCTTAGGAACTACTAATCTGATTTGAAAAATTATTTTTGCATTAAATTCTATACATAATAATTTCATTTTTTCAGGATAAAGAGTTCAATGCCATCGCGGTGGACTACCAGACAGTCCACGCAGGCAATCCAATTACCGATCTTTTTTACTTTATCTTCTTGGGTTCAGATGAAGAGTTCAGGAAACAGCACTACGAAGAACTTCTGGATCATTATTACAAAAGTTTAGTACAGGCCTTAGAGAGACTTTCTGTAGATCCTGTAGAAGTTTATCCAAGGAACAAATTTGACAGTGATTTGAAAGAGGTAATTTCTACTATTAATTATTACCTCCACGACCGCGGACATGCCAGCGTGTCAGTTAACAACAGATTTCTTAGAATTTTAATTAATTTCTTAGAAATTTACCTGGAGGTGCAGCTATCTTAAATAGTTGTATAGGCTAATAAACTAGAAGGTTTCAGTATATACCTATTACATTTCATACACAACAACACAAAGTATAGAGTATAGGTTTGTTTTCATTTGAATTTTAATGCCTGTTGCTAGTCATCCGTTAATTGGATGATTGAATTTTTCATCAATTTTTTTAAATCCTATCGGGTTTGAAAGATTTTTAGATTCAAGTCTTTTATGTGCAAAACGTACGTGACGCTAACCTGGGTCAAGTAATATCAAAATATTTTCAAATTTCAGATACTACCATACGGCCTCCTGCTCGGAGCAGCACTCCTGCCCATCGTCACTGTAGAGGCAGAATCTGCTCCGAAATTGGACGGAACTACAGATGTACACGATTTCCTCATAAAATCTAATGACCTGTATGCATCGAGATTTAGCGGAATTGTCAACGATTACATTGCTTGGGGAGTGATTCAGTGAAGTTCTTAAGATAGATATATGTAAATACTTATTATGTATATTTGTATATTTTTAATATACATATGTATAGTAAAAACATCATGTTGTATATTTTTGTATAGATACTTTAGCAAAAGAAAGAACATAATAAAAGGTAATTTATTGCAAGTACACTATAAATATGATAATTAATTTTATTTATGTCCGATCAGCTGTTTAAGGCGCTATTTTTATAGTCAGATGTGCTATCTTTCTTAGTCAATTATGCTGTTGGCGATCACTAATTATAATTATTAAAAAACGAGCTGACACGATATAGATATATAGACGTTGTTCTGTTCAAAATTCAATTTTGTTTGTAACCTTAATGTTCATAAAAAATGGAGGTGGTAAACTATCTATGTATGTACTTGCCAAATATTATAGAAACCTGCTAAGCAGTTTATGCGTAAATAGATAACAGACAGACACAGTTATTTTCAAATTTATTAGTATAGATCTATTACATTTCTAAAGATATAGCTTTTCAAAAGACAAAGGTCAAAGAAAATAGGTAGTACTACTGCTAGTAATAGGGTAACGTCTAGATCCTTCGGGTTGATAATGATTATCCTAAAATATGAGAAATAGTAAATATCTCATTTCATAAGCTGAGCAAATATTGCGATATTGTTTTTAAACTAGCGGACCACCTACCCACATAGGTACGTTTTAAATGGATATAAATAGTTATTAGCCAGCGTTAGCCATATAAATTTTAATTTTTTTTTTCATTTTTTTCTGATATTTGAATAAAGGGAAGTGGAAGAAGGAAACATTTTGTTCCAATCCCACGTACCGTGAGACAAGGGCAAGTATAAGAAGATTTTATCAAACGTACATATCCCATAGAGAAAGAATTTCTAGCAAATGCTCATTATAGTTTTTAGAATGATATAAATGCGAATATTTGTGAGCTTTCTTTTTATTTCTTTACGCTGTAGCAATAACGTGTTTCAGAGTAATTTGCAATAGCTTGATGTGTCGATTATTATATAATACATTTTATATCTTAATGTCCTGGATTTACATACATACATAATACATATCCATACTTTAATATTATAAATGTGAAAGTGTGTTTGTTTGTTTGTCTTTCTTTCACGTCGAAAGGGAGTGACAGATTGGTGTGATTTTTGGTGTGAAGATAGTTGGACAGCTGGAGAGTGACATAGGCTACTTATTATCACGGGTGATCATCTCCTTCCCACGGGAAAACACGTTATAATACAACCCAAAAAAATATTTATGATTAGAATTACTTGAAAGTGGGTCTCTTCAATATAATTAAATAACTGTGTTTAAGCATTTTTCGAAATTCATTCTATAAGGGGGTAAAATAGAGAACGAAAGTTTGTTTGGAACCTATTTTTAAAATAAAACAATACGTATGGACGGAGGACGGATTGGCGTCGGATTTATATGGAGATAGTCGAAAAACTGGATAGTGACATAGGCTACTTTTTATAGCAGAAGATCATCTCATTCCTACGGGAAAACACGTTATAATACAACGCAATAAAATATTTATGATCAGAATTACTTGAAACAAGGTACTAATGCTCTTCAATAGCATTAAATAAATGTTTTAACATGTTTCGAAATTCATCCTATAAGGGGGTAAGTAAAATAGGGAATGAAAGTTTGTATGAAACCTACTTTTAAAACAAAACAATAAGTACTGACGGACGATGGATTGGCGTGCTTTTTTGTGTGGAGATAGTTGGAAGGCTGGAGAATGACATAGGCTTTTTACCGTGGGAGATTATCTCATTCCCACGGAAAAACACGTTATAATATAACCAAAAAAATATTTATGAGCCGAATTATTTGAAATTGGTATTAATGATCTTCAATATAATTAAATAAATACGCGTTTTAGCATTTTTTTAAATTCATCCCATAAGGGAGTAAAATAACTGACTAAAGTTTGTATGAAACCTAACTATTATTAATTATTATTAACTACCTTACCTTTTAAAATATAAAACAAAACAGTACCTATATCAGATTTATTCAAAAATCATCTCTTAAAAGGGTAAACATTTATTTTTTAATAAGAATTACTGGAGACTTGATATTGATGATCTTCAATTCAATTAAATAAACACGTGTTTTAAGATTTTTGTAATTCATCCCGTAAGGGGATAAAATGGGTTGTAAAGTTGGAAAGAAAATCCGCCATTTTTATTGTTCAAATTAAGTATTTAAGATAAAAAAAGCAATACGTGTTATCAATCAGGTTATTCGAAATTCGTCCTCTGAAAGGGTAAAAATATAATAAGGGTCGAGTTGACTTAAAAATCAGCATTAATGCTATTGACGATTAATTAACGAAAAGTTAAATACTCAAAAAAGTTTTTTTTTTAAATTAAAATTACTTTAGGTCAAATTAAAAAGTAATCGGGGGACTACATTAGCTGTGGCCTCATCTGGAAATGTTACTGCACTTTTAGAAGGTTGTAAAATGGCTTACGGTACGTTTAAGCTCCCGCTCAATCTCACCAGAGTTGAATTCGACATCTATACATATAATATATAGGCAGTGGTAGCCCAGTGGTAACGCGCTCGCTTAGGAAACCGAAGTGAGTGAAGCGAGTGAACCCGAGTGAAGCGGGTTCAAATCCCGGGTCTCGCACCTCTGATAATTTCATGTGCGAATCATTTCTAACATGATTACCACTTGCCTTACGGTGAAGGAAAACATCGTGAGGAAACCTGCATGTCTGAGAGAACCTAGCAAGTTTTTGAAACACAGGTGAAGTCCGCCAACCCGCACTTGGCCAGCGTGGTGGACTATGGCCTGATCCCCCTCGTATTAAAGGGAGGCCCGTGCCCAGCAGTGGGACATCAAAAAGGGCTGAAAACATATAATAAAATTGTAACTAAGCCGAATCTGTACATTAAATATTTTTTGGAAAATCTTATTGAAATAGACTTTATTATTGATACAGAGGCCGAATCTATAATTTTTAGAATTTTTGTCTGTCTGTCTGTTACCACATCACGGGAAAACCACTAGATAGATTTTGATGAAATTTGGAATGATGATAGCTGGTTATTTGGGTCAACATATAGGATACTTCTTTAAAGCTGCATTGTAAGAGTGTATTAATATGTTAAACCTAAGAATTTAGATTTTGGTCATCTTGATGCGGGCGGAGCCGCGGACAATGCTAGTACGAAATATATTTAAACAGTGTAACATAGCTCAAGTTATCTGAAAGTGCTCACTTAATACGTGAGATATACAAATAGAGAACGAAGAATATTCCGAATCCAAGGAAAAATTATGGACGAATTCTCGGCTAGCCACAGCAGTGACAACTATAACAGACCTAGAACACGCGAGAGAGAAAACATAGCTAGAGTGTATCCTGATGTTTCAAATAGGTATACAAAGGAATTCTTGGCTTGGTTTTGTGAACGTGCTACACTGAGCCCCAAAACCAATAGTGCTTCTGCTTTTATCAAAATCTTGCTTAAGTCATGGGTCTGTTGATTTAGTGTTGTAAGTGGATGAAACAGTTTACCATCACGTGGAGTTCTCTAACAGTGTTAACCCAACAGACCTCCTTTCCTCTTTTCTCATAAACTTCTTCTGAAGTTTGGCACACCTGTAATGAATAAGCCACCTAAGCTATGCAACGGGACTAGACTGCGAGTTATCCATAAAACCTTATAGTGGCCACTGTATTTGCTGGAAGTGCTCGGAGTCGGGGGGAATCAGTATTCATACCTCCAATAAATACCACTGATAACCTCTGACTACGCCTTTGAATTTAATTTATTGTAAGTGCTCCTTAGAGTTTGCTTTGCAATGACCATTAATAAATCTCAGTACCAGTTGTTACAAGTAGCAGGCATGGTTTTAAGATAGGATTGATTCTCCTATGGTTTTTTGCAGAACGCAGAACCAGACGGAATAGCCGCCAATGTGGTATACAAAGGAGTTCTTAATTGAATATTTACTTCCGTTCGTGATATTTTTTAGCGTAGACTAAGTTAAGTGAATCTAGAGTGACTACATAAATGTACACGTAATATTACAAATTCGATATGGCTACATATAAATTCAATGGAAATTAAAACTGAGCAGTTATTTACTCTATACAGTACTAGTGAAACCGCGAGCAGAAAGCTATAAAAAAATGGCACTTTATATTTTATGTAACTTGAAAAAGGACGGAGACTACAAGTTTTGGTTTATGCATAGGGTCTTTAAAAACCACGTAGATGTTACCATGTTAGTTAAAAAGGCCATATTAGCCGAATTATATGATTCTAAAGTCGTAAAAATTGTATGCGAGTTATATGATTCATCATTATCACACACACGTTCTTAGTTTTTAGACAACCAATATCCAAAGCATTTTTATGGAAAAAGGAAAAAAAAATTATCACGACTTAAGTACTCGTACAATAAATATCATGCATATAATGTAGTATTTATTATTATTATTAGTACTTTTTATACCATGCTCTTCTAACAATAGGCCATAAAGTCACTTAATAACATCATCTAATAACTGTACTGCTTGTGCCTTTCTATAGATGCATAAAGTATGATGAATTTTATGATATGAGTATATATATAATATTTAAAACTAGCACCGTCTATAATAACTATAAAGTCAAAAGCGTTAGTCTTTCCAGACCATGTTTGCTGCAAATTATTTGAAAAGCCGGAACAAAAAATCTGTTTATGTTGCACCCGTTTTGTTTGTTTTTTACATTATGAACTACCTATTAACATTATTTTCTCGTGTTTACATGAAAAGTCTACGTATGGTACAAAATTAAAATCTAACCATTGTCAATTCATTATTGTTAACATTGGTAGCTTCCTGACGGACTGACTACACTGCTCTAAATTGACGATTTAAAAGTGCTTGTAATAAATCTATTTGAATAAAGTTTTATTTCATTTCATGATCAAGACCATGTCTAGTAAATGTCCAGACCATGTAAAGCTAACC